GGGAAAGGCGTGTGAACTGGAAGAGTTGAACAAAAGCATGCTCGAGGCAATGGCGGACAACGAAGAGTCGACAGAGCAGGAAATGGATCAAGAAGTGCAGCACGCCGACGAGTATCGAAGGAAGTATCAGCAAGCGAAAGTAGAGGTCACGAGGCTAGAAGAAGAGACGCAGCAGCGTAATGCAGCGCCACCTGTGCAGGGACGAGAGTACCGACAGAACAATCTACCGTATCAGGAAAACAAAGGTACGTTTAAGTTACCGAAGATTGAGCTAAAGAAATTCAGCGGTGACGTGAGAGAATGGCTACAATTTTGGAGTCAGTTCAAAAATATACATGAAGATCAGACTGTCTCCAAGGAAGATAAATTCCAATATCTTCTCCAAGCAATGGTGCCAGATACGAGAGCCAGTGAACTCGTAAACAGTTACCCACCGACGGCCGACAATTACGATAAAGTGATTGCCGGCCTGAAAAGCAGATTTGGGAAAAACGAGCTATTGGTTGAAGTTTACGTGCGCGAGTTACTGAAGTTGGTTCTAAGCAATGCGATAACGCCGAAAGGGAACGTTTCGTTGTCCAGTGTCTACGATAGGTTAGAGACACACATTAGATCTCTCGAGTCACTCGGAGTGACGACCGACACATGCGCGGCCATGCTGTACCCGTTGGTGGAGTCTTCGTTACCCGAGGATTTGTTACGAGCGTGGCAAAGACACACCAGTACTACAATACAGCTTCCTCCAAGAGAACCAGGTGATAATGCTCCAGCGGTGCCCGTCGCTACCACACCTAAAGATCGACTGACAAATCTAATGGCCTTCTTACAGGCAGAAGTAGAGAACGAGGAGAGGATTGCGATGGCGGTCAGCGGATTTGGTTTGAATCAAGAGCAGTCGACGATAAAAGATAAAGTAAAAAGGAAGCATAAGGGCGAAGCTACTAAAGAAATCGCTACGGCTTCGACACTTTTAACGACGAAAGAAGGTAAAACGCAACAGTGTATATTTTGCAGTGAGAATCACGATAGTTCGCAGTGTGAAAAGGCGAGAAAAATGCCTATGGAGGAAAGACAAAATATCGTGAAACAAAAAAACGCATGTTTTAATTGTTTGAAGGCAGGGCATAGCAGTAGATTCTGCAAATACAAGCAGAAGTGTGCGTGGTGCGGTAGGAAGCACGTTTTACTAATGTGTCGAGGAATGACTGCTGATAGATCGACGACGAAAAACGCGATGGACGAATCGGCGAAGAAACAAGAAGAGAGTAGTCTAACGAATCTTTCGTTTAACGAGGAAATCTTCCTACAGACTCTTCAGGTAAAACTGCGCAATCGAGGAAGGGAACGCATTGCTCGAGTAGTGTTGGATACGGGATCTCACCGATCGTATGTTCTGAGTCGAACAGCTAAGGAGATGGATTATGAGGAAGTCGGACAGCAAAATATAATTCATCTACTGTTTGGAGGCGCGAAGACTGAACCACAGGAGCACAAGGGCTACCGTATACGCATCAGCAGCCTGGACGACTCGTACGCTTGTAATTTTGTAGCATTGGGACAAGAGACGATTTGTAATGATATCCCCGGTATAAGGCGTGGCCCTTGGATACAGGAGTTGTCTCACAAGGGAATAAAGCTAACAGATGTCGGCCAGGTAAATGAACCTATTTCTATACTCATTGGAGCTGATATTGTGGGCAAACTGTTAACAGGCAAACTCCAAGATCTTGAATGTGGAGCAACAGCAATCGAGACTCGTCTTGGATGGACCGTGATGGGCAAGAATTCGCAGGGAAAAACTGCTCGAGTCGATTCGGCGCTGTTGACAATCTCCATGTTCGCCCAAGACGCGAAGATCTCTGATCTATGGAGCTTGGACATATTAGGCATTACCGATCCAGTCCAAACGAAAACTAAAGAATCTCATCAAGAACAAGTAAAGGACTATTTCCGACAGACTGTTACTGTAAATAATGCCGGACGTTATGAAGTGTATCTGCCTTGGAAGGAGAGTCATCCCCCGCTTTCAGATAACAAAGAAATAGCTGTCAAGAGATTAGAAATGAGTATTAAAAGATTGAAATCCGATAACCTCTTCGAAGATTATTGCCGAGTACTTGAAGAGTGGGCTGAGGAAGGAATCATCGAACCTGTGCCCCCTACCGAAGTGGATAACCACAGCTACTACCTACCACACAGACCCGTGCTAAAGGAGAATAGCACGACACGTCTGAGACCGGTTTTCGATGCCTCAGCACGAGGAAAGGACTCACCTTCATTGAATCAGTGCCTCGAAATCGGACCAAATCTCATTGAACTGATCCCGACGATGCTGTTACGGTTCCGAGAAAGAAGGATTGGCGTTATCTCAGACATAAAAAAGGCTTTTCTTCAAATTAGTGTGTCGCCGAAAGAGCGGGACGTACTTCGGTTTCTATGGTGGAATAAAGAAGATTCAACAAAGTTAGAAGTCTATCGGCACTGTAGAGTCGTGTTCGGAGTGACTAGCAGTCCTTTTCTGTTGGGTGCTACTATTCAACTGCATCTAGAGCGAGTACTACAACAGGCAACCTTAGAAGAACAGCGAGACGTCATACGAAAACTGGAGAAATCGTTCTATGTGGACAATTGCGTGACGAGCGTCGATACGTACAAGGAATTAAAGTGGTTCAAGGAGGAAGCTACTGCTGCTATGTCTACTGGTGGTTTTCTTCTCCGAGGATGGGAATATTCTGATCCGACATTGATCCAGGACAGCACGCCAGTACTTGGTCTTACATGGAATAAAGGCCAGGACACACTATCGCTGACAAAATCGGCGCTGGAGGAATCTATGCCCGAAAAGGTAACGAAAAGGCGTATTTTGTCAGCTACGCAAAAGATATTTGATCCGATCGGTTTAGTGTGCCCGGTGCTGCGCCCAAAATTACTGTTACAGAAATTGTGGTCAACGGACTTAGATTGGGATACGGAGGTGAATGAGGAGGTCAAGAACACTTTCAGAGAGTGGCACCAACAACTGAGTCTCTTAACGGAACTACGTATACCTCGATGGATTTTTGGAGATGAGCGGAGAGGATACTCGACGTCATTTCACGTTTTTGTCGACGCCAGCCAGGATGCATACGCGGCGGTCCTCTTCGCACGAACCGAGTCTCCAAGCGGAGTCAAAGTTCAACTCATCGAGGCTAAAGCAAGAGTGGCTCCGTTGGGAAAGTCGACTATACCTCGTCTAGAGCTTCTTGCTGCGACGATTGGTGCCCGACTAATGACCTTCACCCTGGGCTCTCTGGGGAGACAACAAGCAGAAAAATATTTTTGGAGTGACTCCATGACGGTCTTGTCCTGGATTAAACAAGAGAAGCAGTGGGCAACCTTCGTATGGAACAGAACAAGAGAGATTCGGCAGCTCACCGAGCCGGAACACTGGTATCATCTCCCTGGATCAATGAACCCGGCCGATCTGCCGTCTCGAGGATGTAGCACGAGGCAATTACTTGATTCAAAATGGTGGGAGGGTCCTGAATGGCTCAGGAAATCTCGTGAACAATGGCCCTCAGTCGATTATATCGTAGACGAAACAGAAGTCAACAAGGAGATTAAAAAGTCCACGTTCAAAGTAAAGAAGGCCGAGGCGTCGGTACAGTGTGAAGTAGCGATGAGTAACACTTGTAAAGGAGTTCCTGATCGAGAAGGTCGATGGTATCTCAGAGGATCCTTCACATTCGAAAATTCTACGCATGATGGCCTGGGTTCTACGTTTCATCGCAAAATGCCGGAAGAACCGCTCTAAACATCTGTCAGGAGATTTATCGGTCAAAGAAATCACTGAAGCCGAATTAATATTGATGAGTCTAGCTCAGAGAGAGTCATTCGAGGGGGTCGAAGACTCTAGAATCAGTTGTCTGAACGCGTTCAAGGATAAATCGGGACTTATCCGCTTAAAGACTCTAGTTTCGAACAGAGAGGATCAATTTGGTTTTCGTTGTCCCATTGTCTTGGAATCACGGCATCCTCTCGTTGAAAGGTTGATACAGTACAGACATAAACAGCTTAATCACGCAGGTATACAGACTGTGATGAACAATTTAAGAGAACAAGTGTGGATATTATCCAGTCGGCGTGCTATACGATCTGTCCTCTCTAAGTGTACAATATGTAAACGATACAAGGCTAAGAGGATCGAGGCGTCACCGTCAATCCTACCAGAAGAACGAATAAGAGATGCGACTGCATTCGTGGTATCAGGGGTCGATTTTGCGGGCCCACTATATTTAAAAGACGGGCAGAAAGCTTGGATCTGTCTGTTCACGTGCGCAGTCTACCGAGCGGTCCACCTCGAGTTAGCGACTTCCCTCTCGACCGAAGCGTTTTTGGAAGCCTTCCGGAGATTCGTCGCGCGCAGAGGAAGACCTTCTATTATGTTTAGCGACAACGGTACTAACTTCTGTGAAGCGAGCAACCTGTTGCGTAGTATCAATTGGAAGAAAGTCGCGGAATATAGCACGATGAAGAAAATAGAATGGCGCTTCAATCCTCCCTCAGCGGCATGGTGGGGTGGATGGTGGGAGCGATTAGTACGTTCGGTCAAGGAAATATTGAGGAAAGTCTTGGGACGAGCTTGCCTTACATTTGAAGAGATGAACACAACGCTATGTGATTGTGAGGCCATTATAAACTCGCGTCCCATTACCTACCTGTCTGAGGACTCTGATCAGTTGATCCCATTGACTCCGGCGATGTTCATTCAAGACGTTCAGGAGATAGGATTACCGGATCTGGATCATGTTCAAGAAGGCGACTTGAAGGCGAGGATACGCTATCGACAGAAGCTCCGAGCTGACTTACGACGTCGTTTTCGTTCAGAGTATCTAGGACAACTATCGCGAACGAGCTATTCAAAAAACGGCAAATATACGGTACGAAAAGGAGATGTCGTTCTCATAGGAAACGAGAATCAGAAACGCTTGGACTGGCCCTTGGCGCGAGTCATCGAGGTCATTCCGGGTAGAGATGGCGAGGTAAGAGTGGTCAGACCGCGAGTGGAGAACTCGTCCGTCCCGTTCAGAGATTGCACCCTTTGGAAATCTCGTCACCAATCGAAGTGGAGGCATTGAATAAATCGACGCGCGAGACCGACGAATCCCAGACAGAAAGGACATTATCAGAGGAAGAAAAGGTGAAGCCAGAAATACGTACAAGAGGCGGGCGTCGAGTGAACGCGCCCAATAGAATGGACCTATAAGACTTCTTACAATTTTTGTTCCTTTTCCTTCTTTGGTTTTTTTTGTAAAATAATTTTGAGTTGCTCAGAGTTCTCAACTCAAAAGGTGGGAGTATGTTATATAATTCATGGTTGTAGTTTCTTTCCCTTCCGCTAGAGCGAGCTACGTGTTGCCGTTTCTGGGGATTTCCCTATCTTTATATTTTATGTACTTTTAGTTAGTTAGTATTACGCTTGACAAAAAGGCGATGAGTTGAGTATTATAGCGTTCCGATAGAATAAAAGCTCTTACTTGCTAGAGAACGGTTACCTTATTCGTCAAAAAACAACCCGCCCGATCCTAAGTTTGTAACAGTTATGTTTCTTCAAGAGTTTCTGCACGTTCGCATTGTAAAATTCTTTTCCATTGTCAGTTTGTAAATTTTTCGGACATCTTCCATCGACCCGAATTATCTTTGCGATTACCGCAGTAACTTCGCATCCGCTCTTGGCCTTGAGCGGTACGGCCCATGCATGCTTGCTCAGCACATCGATAACCGTCAGTATGTAGTGGTAGCCTCTGTTGAATCGCGTGTAAGGACGCATCTCAACTACATCAGCTTGCCACAGGTCGTCGTACCCGCGCACTATGACACGTCTTTGCGGGAAATTTCTTCTCGCTGAAGCGTGCAGTTCCTTCACTAATTGCCGCTTCTCAGATGTTGTCCTTTCAGCCATGAGCAAATGATTTAAAACGGGGAACGGAACAGGGATCGATCGTATATCAAACAGAACAGGACCCGAACGTATATCGAACGGAACGAGGATCGATCGTACGTCGATCGGGAACACACACACGTTCGCGTAACGTACGTTGAACGGGAACGGAACGGGGATCGATCGTATGTCGATCGGGAACGCACGTTCGCGTAACACACGTTGAACGGGAACAGAACAGGGATCGATCGTATGTCGATCGGGAACATACGTTCGCGTAACGTACGTTGAACGGGAACGGAACGGGGATCGATCGTATGTCGATCGGGAACACACGTTCGCGTAACGGAGAGATTTAACTTATTGGCGATGAGTCATACGCTGAATCATTTCGTGAAGTTCGTTTATCATATTCTGCATGCTATTTTGGTGCGTTACTATCTTCCTCTCCATCTCATCCTGTCGATCTTTCAAAATTTGTATGTTCTGTTGAACGTACCGTTTGTTGACAGCATCGTCATCACCTACAGGCAGCGCTAAGCGTCGAATCGGTAATTATGCATAAAAGCGACTTCCTCTCCGATTTGTTTTATTTTTAAATATGTTGTTGGGGATGTCTTCCCGAGTCATTTCATATATATATATATAAGGGGGG